ACGAATCTTTTGAAAGCAGTGCCGTACAATTCTGTGCACGTCTCTGGTGATATTTAGCAGTATTTCTTTGCTTCCCATAAACCTTGTGTATGCATGCGGACAACTATGATCGAATGTGTTCATCTATGTCACATATCTTTAAACCTTACGAGGTTGAAACAGGGTTGAAAGCTTTTCAGCGATAGGCAACGTAGTGACTAATCTGCATCAATCCAGGTGAAATAGAACGAAGAAAGGCGAACATAGTGAGTTTTAGTGATTCATATTCATGCCGATACATCACGTTAAATATCAGCAAGGTTTTATATAATTATACATATATATCTCAGAACGCTACTTTACAAAACAAACCATTGTTTTGGGAAAAGGGAAAATCAATATCATAGATTATTAGGGGTTATTTAGTCTGCGTCCTGGATATGGGGTTCTCAATCATAGCATGATTTTTAGGTCATCATATCTTTGAGATTACTTGATAGTTCAGGGGCGTATGGTGTTTTGGTGTACAAACCTTTTTTAGGACACATAGTGGGGGTTTTGTAGACGAATCCCTAAGGATTCCGCCTTGGCAAGCATACGACATCGAACCGAACAAGGACAAAGGGGCGGATATCGAGTTTCTAAATGAGCTTATTATGTAGGAACGATGGAAGTTAAATTGAGTAACAGGTCGAAATTCATCAAAAGAAACGGAAAGAGATGAATTATCTCAAACGGAGGTTGCGTTATCTAATATCTAGAGGTTTTTAAAATGACCTTGATTCCAAAGAGGGAATTCATCATGTATACAGCAGATGAAGCGGGAACTGAAAGACTGTGTAGCACTGTACAACGGTTACTAACTGGATGGGTTACTTTCGAATGCAGCCAGCCAGCTAATCCCAGATTGTACAGGATACTGAATGCAGACAAAGAAGAGTACCCTTGTGATCGATTGTGGATCTGTGCAATTTGCCTCAACATCCTCTTGTAAAGTGATTGGCGAAATTACAATAGCTCGTTGGGTTTGGGTTATCAAAACGTTGTGTTCGAGACACATTGATTTTTGTGAACAGGATTTGTTCCTTAAACTGAATGGGTCAAAAAATGTTCTCATTGGCCTTCAGTTCGCCCTTCACCAGTATTTCAATAAGCGAAACCATCGAATGCCTGAATAATGATTTGCCGAGTAATAATGTTAAGAAACTCCTTACCTCAAGCAAACGCTTTACCTTGGCGCATACAGCGTCATTCAATAATCAAACCGATCGAGTAAGGGCTGATATGGACATGGGATAACCGTGTTTGCTGACGTGTTCATGATGAAACTCGAAAATAACTAATGCATATCATCCTTTTAGGAATTAGTACAGTGATCCGTGATCCGTGATGGTCCGTGATCAACACAACATCACAAACAAAAGAGCTATGGAGCAAGTGTAATGCTGCTCCACAGAAAATGAAGTGAAAAACAACAAGAAACTAGAATTTCTAGAGGTCTGTCTGGATCGCAAATTTCCTTGAGACAGTTTTATTCTCAAATAGTGATGTATAGTGAGATGAATTGGTGTGATTACCAATCTCTGAAAACCGAGTGGTTCGCCAATCGGTTCTGTTGTTTGAAATTTGCTCCCTGGGGGTATTTCGACAAAGTTTCAATGTATTGATCATTTATTGATAGGGCAGTATTGATGAGTGAAGTACTTGCTGTACATTCAAGCCAACAGTAAGAATTGGTTTTCGTCAATATCGCATTAACGCAGAAGCGAATAGATGCAGTTCGTTACGTTATCAGGCAGTCTATTATTAGCTTCAACAGCTTTTACTACTGGTAAACTTTAAGTAGATAGTTTACAAATGTGTAATTCATGTTGAATTCTCTTGTTCGCGCATGGTGTTTTGCTTGTGTATTGTCTGGGAGGCTTTTTAATTTAGTTTTAATTTCTATATTGTAGATAAAATGACCACGAACACCAGCATTACGAAAATCCATATAAAGCAGTTTCGTCTGAAACACTAAGATGGGGTATGCGATAAAAGACAGTAATGAGTGTGCTTTGAAGACATTTTTCATAATATTGCTGTGAAAAACTCGCTGTAATTAACACGCAGCTGCATTTGTTCTAGAATTTTCTCCTGAAAAAACTCTTTGATTTTTTATTGAATATAGTACGACCAGTTCTCTTAGGAATTCTCAACTTTTGACCTCGGCTACCTAAAAACCTGACCGTTAGGTACCGGCTTGTATGTGTGAAAATCGCATTTGTTTGAGGGCCGCTGTCGTAGCTCTTTGGGTCGTGTGTATTTGGAAGCGGGCCAAACTTCTAAGATTTCCAATGCACTTCGATTTTCACTAGAACCGGTGATAATTAACTTTACCAGATTTCACGAAATTACGGGGTTTGTAAGCCTCTTATTTGATGACTTACAATCAATGTTCTTAGCCAACTCCATCAGGCGAGTTTTCGGTGATCTACCGACCCGGGCTTAACCCCGGATACTGACTATTCGTCTTTTCTCTTCGGTTGGAAAATAACTCCACCAGGGGAGGGCAGTAAAAAGAGCTTCTTCTTAGGAGACGGTATTGCTAGATTGACCACCCGGGACAAAAACACCCTGCCTTGCACCCAACTGAGACTTGGATTCGCAGCATTATCCTTGACGCTCAAGTTGCTTTAATTCGTATGTGTGGGTCACAGGTAATCTCTTTTATCTTTTTGTAGTTTAGCCCTCAGTTAATCCAGTTTTCTCGGGGCTAGATGTGTCGGTAAACGAAAACCCTCATCCCTATTGCTCTCCGAAAACCTGCTTATCACTTAGATTGTCTTTTCGGTAACAAAGACGAATTGATGGTTTACTAGAAGCAAGATATCAGGGGTTTGGTATATCCTGATTTTAGACTATCCTCAAATAGTCGTTAAGAATACGTGCTGTTTCAGAGGATCATTTCAATACCGTTGTTTTAGACTACTTTATTAACCGCAATCTTATTTCTAACTAAGGCTTGGGGGACAGAGTACTAGGGCAACAAATAACGTAGTTACTATGACACGAAACCGAAATCACTAATTGTCGCTGTTTTGTTTGTTCGTTTTTTACAACTAACACGCTTAGACAATAAACATCCTGCCGTGTTTTCTTTTGGGTTAGTTATTAATTATTATATTCTACTTCACGAGTGTTTGGAAAGCAGCGATCCTCTTTCCGATAATGTATCATTTCATTAACTGGATCATAGCAACGCCACTGTAAGATTTCTCCGTCCTCGGAGCAGTTCTACCGCATGAAAAGTTACCATAAGTGCAAGCGTGGCACGTACACTCGCATCTGTTAGCTTCAACAGGTGTTGCACCCAAATGCATCTAGGTGCACAGGTTTGCATGATCTCAATATACTCAACAGAACAGAGCTTGCGGATAGATTGCAAAAAACATTTCGTAAAACCCAGATCGTTTTACAGCCATTTGCTCCCGGGTCTTGCTCTTGCCGTTTTCCGTTCCTTCTGGAAGCTGTCCTGTTCTCTACTCAATGCGCAATTCTTAAATATCGCGACGAGATTTGTTGACTTACTTCTACTTCCAGCTTTTCTGCTTCAGCTTCCCAGGACCCATCCTTGGGTATTGTGAGAGATTCATTTTCAATCAACCCACAGCTGGGAGATACTTTATAAGGTGAGATTGCATCCATGTAGCAGATTCTGCAAGATAACTACTAGCTGGATAAATTCAATATTTTGATTTTGCCTGACCGTCTGTCAGACTTCCATCATAATGCACAATCCTCAGTTCGTTCGGTTAACAGTTACATTCGGAAAACACCGGATCTCATTCGCGCAGATTTTGCACTCAGAATCCCCCGAACACGCTACTCACAAGTAACTGGGGAATGAACAGAAAATAAAAATAAAAAATAAGCTACCCAAACAAGACAACTTACTCACATCTCGGAATAATCGTTTGTGAAATCTGCTTTAAAAGTAGACTAGCCGTCTAAACCATTGTCGAAGTACAACGGTAAATTTATCATTTCCGGAGTAAATATTGAAGTGTATTTGATCCGATCATCACAGGTAAATTACCAGTTACTACCCACCCTTACCTCATCCATGTTGATTTTCTTCTTTCCAGATATTTCGTGGTGCATGCCCAGGCATTTAGTGAAACGTATTGCAAAACAATACCCGAAATGACTCATTAAGGGAAAAAAGAGTTCTATACACAGTTCCATATTTGAATATCTGGTTAACAGTGACCTTCGGATAATCGATGTGTTTTTGATTTTGTATTTTGATTCTTCTCCTTTCCCTCGAGCAATTATCTACCAGACTAACCAGTGACCTAAGAATTTGTACTAATCTGTCACAGATTTTCGTAAAGCTGGGCTAGCTATTCATTGAAATCAAAAGTTTGTTCCCCATCGGTTGATATCTATGTGAAAATTGGGTTATTCACATTGTTGTCTGGCACATTTGAAGTTCTTATTTCTATTCAGTAGCCTTCAGCGTAACTAAAGAAGAGTTATATGGGAAAATAGGAAACCTTTGACTTAAAACCAGACTGTAAAGAGAATAAACGATAATTTTTCTGCTTACAATTCTCCGTTCTGTTGCCTATATCTATTTTCCTCCAAAATCGTAGTCTGCTTATGCATGAAAGAATAACGTTGGACTGAATAGCCGAAATTAAAAATGCATTTTTATTCCTCATCGTGCCTAATACGGCTGAACAACCTCGGTTATGCTTTAAGTTCTTAATTCCCAGGGGATAGACAAAAATATCCGCAAGTGATTCAAGATGAATAGAAAAAAAACAATTAACAGCCTCTGTGATTCAGCAGACCGATTTTGCCGTTCATACCACGATTGGACCCTTGCTTTTTGGGATACGAGAGGATCATTCAATCATGTTTTGTATTGCCACGCCAAAATAAGCGATCTCATACACGTCTGATCTGAGGTTTTGATTCGAACAAGGTCCGCTCTGGTGCTTTCAGTTTTACCAGACAACACCGAATCATTTGGATCAAAGGCTTGGTAAATGCAATCCGGTTGTTTTTATTGTTGGCCGATTTTGTGAACCACCTCCAACATCGCCTCCATTGCCTGGGGGTTCGTAACTGGCTTGTCTTCGAGGTACGTGTTGCGGGGATCGATTGGACAGTTGAGCCGGATCCAGAGTCTGTCCCAGGGCGTAAATATTGCCCGTGGATTGGTGCATAATTGATCGACCAGCTACCGTGGTAACAGGAAGTGTCATCGTAGTTGGCATAGTGTTGGCTAAGGAGATCAATGAGTTCGGGACGGAGCACATGTTATTGAACGCGGCCACTTGGGCATGATTTGACATTACCGGACGGATGATGGGCACGCTATTTCCGAGCGTGGGATTGCTGTTGTTGTTGGTGGTGGTGTTGTTTTGTTTCGATCCGGTCAAATTAGTAGGTTGAATGACTCGATGGAACATGTGATGAGTGGTGATCGCGGGCAACGGCTGTGGGGAAAAAGTTGTGCAAATAATGAAAGAATGCTAAAACGTTAGTAATATATATCTGTGCCTAGAAATAAAAAGCGTACGAAAGTTAATGACGCGTGCATTAGATCAATAAGTGTAATCCAAACAAGGGACGTCTCTTATATGGTACCAGTTTATGGTACCGTGGTACTGACAGATTTTTAATGCCAATCATTTGTACATTTCCCCATTCAAGCTCAGTTGAATTAAGTTATTATCTTGTTGGTACGTCCCGATATTTTAGTAAAAACAACAACCATTCCCTGAGGCTTTTAAACATGATTTGAAATTAAAACCTTATAAGGAAATTTTTATCATATTCACAATGCACACATAAACTTCTATAATGTCACTGGATAATCAATCAATAAATCGTTTTAGCCGTAACTTTGTCGCTCTGTTCTGTCGAATAAAGACTGAACAAAAACGTGCGCCGTGAGATGTTAACATTTTGTTCAGTCTTCTCATTCCCTGACATGAAACAAACAAGGCAATTAGTAGCACATTATATTTGCAAATCATAGGGAACGGACATGTACAGACAAACTGGGGTTAGTATAATTAAAAACAACAGGTCAATTAATAGCTCCTGTCTATTTGTACATGTCTGTTCTCTTGGATTCACAAATCAAATGTACTATAAATTTGCTTCTTTGTTTTACATCAGGGATCGAGAAGATGAAATGAAGTGTTAACATCTCACAATATTTCTCTTCTTTCGCTGCTGATGCGATGGATATAGGGGACCCAGGGTTTCATATTCTATTCTGATCAAATCCCATCATTCTAGTACAAAGCAGCTGTTAATTCTCACCGGTGTAATTTGGCTTATGTCTTTGAAATTCTACGATTAAATATTTTATCTAATGCTCATGTAGCAATTATGACCACTGAATAGTAACTATTCCAATCAAAGATCAAATGTTCATCCAGCCAAAGTGATATATTCATCCATAGACGGTCGTAATTCTTGGGCATCGATGTTCCGTAGACTTGTCCTCGAGCAGCATATGTTTCTTAAAGTAACAAAGATAGACAATTTGTGAATCATCCCCGACACCTATCTCCGTGTCGGTGGAAAAAACACCACTCACTTGAGTGAACTAGAGAAATATTGCAATGATTGAGCAGTGATGAACAATTTAGCGATTCAGTGGAAATGTCTAATTTAGTGACTTCGTTCCCATGTTTCTATGATTGCACACATAGTAAAACATTTCTTGCAAAAAGATTATCGATCGCTTAGATAGAACCGGAGAAATCACAATCCCAAAATACTGCTGTTTACCTTTCGCGTGATGGGATCCCAATTTAACGCGTTTCGTTGATTGAAAAGCCCTAAACGAGTGCGTGGATTGAAGGTAGTTTTGAACGGATACGAGATAGTAGAGGGTGCCTTGGTCGTTGGTGTTTTCTGTGCAGTTGGCTCTGATCGTTTTGTACTGGTTGCCTCGTTTGTTTGTTGTCGGTCCGGCTTCACACTTTGTCCGGTTGAGGGGCTGGCATCCGTTGGCAAGAAATTACCAATATCTGATAACGAATGGTACATCCAGATATTGTATAAGTAACAATAATAACTACAACAGAGATAATAGTTTTGTACAGTTTCAGCCAGTATAGTATAGTATAGTATAGTATATAGTAAATATAATACACTTTATCTGAAGAAAGATAGTACTAACTTGACAAAAACTACCCAGTGAGCGAATATTTATTTTCTGAATGTTCTTATTATGGTCCAATGGATGCTTGATCTGAAACAACTCTGTGTTTCGTTAGCACAGCAATGCCATTAACTCAGCACTGGGTGATTTAGTCCATTCTTTTTTATTCAATTTTCCTCCACACTACACTTTTCCAAATTCAATGAACAGCGTTCAAGCTTTAAATGAATCCGTCGTTACTTCAATTGTTTCCACAAATCAACTCTCCTTGGAAAACCCACAAAATGATTGGTGGTTCGGGCGTCACACGTTACCTATTGGGTTTGAATAATGATAACGCCCATCTAATACGAATGAAATAACAAACTAACAAACAAATATGTATCGGCGCCATACGAGGATGTCGGATTTCGGTCGGGTTCGGGTGTAAGTGGTCGTCCTCCAGGGAACGTTGATTGAGTATGCCCCAGGAACAAGAATGAACGAAACTGTTGGTAATTTACCACGATCAGTAGGGTAACAAACTGGGTAATATGAATTTGATTGCAGGCTTGGATCCTTGCAAAAACGGATTCAACCTAGGTGTTCCATAACCAAGTGACTAAATTCCATTTGGGCCAAGTTCCCTCGAATTTCGCCACTTGTTTTGAACTAAATGCTATTCGAATAAAACAAGTAACACAATATGAGCAGAATTGATATTGGCCATCAATTTCGCGTGCTCTCTACGCACATTAATTAGGTCAAATTTTATCATAAGAATACCATATATGGACATTTACAATTACGTGGGGTCAAGCAGAAGGCTCTGAGTGGTTAAGTCATTCCCAAAGTCATTTCAGTATGAGTAGAAGAGGAGGAGGGGTGGGGAATGTTAGCATAGAAAACAGTTACGTAATGGAAACTGATTAGCAATGGTGGAAAGAGAGTTAGACATGGTTGCGTAATACGAAAAAGATGCAACCAGAAATGAATTCGAATAGACGCAGAAAGTTCACCGAGTAAAAAAAATGTTCAACCAAGTAGGTCAACGAGAGTTACGTAATAAGAAAATGAGAAGAGCGAAGTGTCAACGATGATGTAAGAGAACGGTTGAGATGATGGGAAGGAAAGGGGAGGGGAATTACCATGGTAATCACAACTGCATAACAAAGGCCTTTTGCACGCATAGGTCAGGCTTTCAACGGCTAATGACAACCGCTTCAGCAAACCTAAGCATCCTTGGGCTTCGAACTTTGAGCACAACGCGGAAAGCTTTGGTTTCTCGATGCAGTGTCCGGTATCAAGCAAACGTCGTGCCACTGCGCTTGCTGGAAGCTTTCCTCCCCTAAGTGATAATATATTCTTATGATATTCTTATGATAAAATTTGACCTATTTAATGTGCGTAGAGAGCACGCGAAATCGATGACGAATATCTATTCTGCTCATATTGTGTTACTTGTTTTATTCAAATGGATCAAAGGGGAAGGATGTTTCCGCTAAATGTTATTCATTTCCATCGGAAATGACCAGAAGCCCCCGTCAGTTTGCTTTGCACTGGAACTCGAATATCGAGGAAACTTGTTGGCAGACCCAGGAAAATGAAGACCGAAAAGCCATTTGTTGCAATAGCGTCCAAATTGGGGTGTCAAAATGCTTTTTCACTCAGATATTAAGATGTAAACAATGAATTTTCACAAAGTTTACAATTCGTATTAAGCAGTCTGATTTTTCGACAGCCATCCACCTCCCCCGAATGAACAACACCTGCCTTTGTCGTCCCACTTGGTCTACCAACTCTATTATCGGTGCGGAAAACTCTAGGTAGGCAGAATATCAAGATACTTACGTAATCCGGTTTAAGAACACGTTGTTAACTGAGTTTAGTTTGGGGTCTCTATGTTACTCTCAACCCAGGCGCACGGAGATGTGCATACAAACAACGAAGCCAAAGTCAAAGTCAACCTTTTATTATGAATAATACTTACAAGCGGTTGCTTTTCTAATCCCATAGGATTTGGCACAGATGAATCGGTTCACAGTACATACA